CTCTCTCTCTCTCTCCTCTCCTCTCCTCTCCCTCCCACCCTCTCTGTGGCAGACAATCCGGCTCCCTTCTCAGATGTAGGCCCAGCTATGCTCCTGATGCAGGATGCGTCTCCTCCTCCAGCCGGTTTCTTCCCCATCATTCTAGGTTCAGGGGATCTGGGACGAGGCTCACCCCAGGCCCAGGGAGCAAACAGCCTCCTCGAGGCCAAGAGAACACTGTTTATTTCTGAAGCACGCACATCCTAAAGCAATGACAAGAAGCACATCTCAAAGAAGAGTTGGTGACCCCGCCAGGCCCAGCCCTGGCTTCTGCATCTGGGAGCTGGGAGGTCTCCTTCTGGATGGTCGTCGCTCAACCTGCCGAGCTCGCGCCCCAAATTTTAGGGCCCGCAGAGTCTCGGCCACGTGCTTCTGCCCAGGGGACACACACAGGATCATCAGTAACTTAGCATCACCGCCTTTAAAAAAAAAAAAAATTAAAGATGCCAGGTGTAAAGCATGAAAATGGCATTCCTCCGTGCTAAACAGCTACTGGAATGGAGAAAGCCTAACCACACTCCGAGCAGGGACCACGGGCGTGGAGAAAGTCTGCCTGCACTTTGAGCAGGGATCATAACCTCCCAAACAAATGGTAAACGCCAGCACAGGCCCCGGGACTGGAAGCCACCGAAGGCCACTCATCCCTCAGTGGAGCCCTAGCTCCATAGCTTAGAGACCCAGCCATAGACTGTGCCTGCCACGATGAAGAGAGTACAACAGTCCCCCCGAGGAACTTTGTAGCCTGGAGATAAGAGCATGAGGAAGACGCACTATCCAGACCCATCTGCAGCCTAGCTAACGGAAGCATAAACTGTAGTGACTAGAAGTCCCAAAGACACTGAGGACAGAACATGGCGGGGGGGGGGGGGGGGGGGGGGGGGGGGGGGGGGGGGGGGGGTCTGGCGGAGCCGTAACTTTGCCAAAGGCTGTGTGGCTTGGGCAAAGAGACAAGCAAGGCTGGGATTGCTCCCTAAGGCTTGGCGCTCTGTCCCCTCTGATTTGGGGCCTCCCGGGAAGACAAACCGATGGAATCTTGGAGCAGGTGGGTGAGCTTGCTGTTCCGATATGGGATGTGGTCGCAGCGCTCTGACAGGGCTCCGAGGACGTCTGCGAGGGCGGCCAGACTCCGGTTGATGAAGGAGGTCTCCTTCAGTGCCACACCGGTCACCCCAGACACTGCTGGAGAATATGAAAGCCAGCCACCTGTGAGCACGTGCTCTGGACAGGGACAAGGCAAGCAGAGATGGTTCTTGGGAGGTACCACGTAACCTGCCCAGTGTCCGGGAGAGGTACCCCGGCCTGGCAGTCATTAGGATGAGCTCCTCATCTGGTTAACCACTGAGCAGTTCCTCTAGGCATAGACCACAGAGGGAAGAGCTCAGCTTCTGGCCATCGGAAGGTAACGGGTCTAACGTGGGCTCACAGTTTACCCCACCACTGTGTTGCCCTTTGCTGACACTGACCTTCACCCCGGGGAAGATTTCTGGTCCCTGCTCACCTGCACACTCACTGCCGGCCAAGTCCACAAGCTGCAGCCTGGCCAGCACCTGCCCGGAATGGTCTGCAGAGTCCACTGGAACGGTGTGCGGAGAGGAAGCCCGGGGAGAGGTGGTCCACCGGTTCCCTGCTCCTGCTTTCTTCTGGAGGGAAGCTTGGCTGGACTGTGGGGCTGGGACACGGGGAATGCAAACAGAAAGGTCACCCGGGTCTGCCTAGCCTTACATCAGTATGAGAGCTGAAAGTTCACCTGTCAGACCTGACTTCTCATTCACTTGTAAAAACAGACAGTTAAGAAGTAGAGTAACAGTCCTCACCCCTCTGGGGGGACACAAAAGCATGCTACACCAAGGATGGTTGAGCCAGTGCCTGCTCTGTCCCCCCAAAACTGAATAATGTTGTTGCAAAGTGCTGGCGGTGGTGTGAACGAAAACCTCAGACACCACAGTTATCTGCCCTCTTGGAAACAAATCCCTCTGTCCTTGCTCAGTAAGCTCTTGCCAGCTCTGCAAAGGGGTCTCCATCTTGAGGTGTCCATCTGTCGTGCTGTGTGCTGTTCCCAAGCAAACCTCTTAGAAACATGTTTTAAGCTTAATCAAGCTGTCCTTGTTGTGCAGAACAGAAAACACTCTTTTGTCAAAAAAGAAAACAGAACCCACAGGTTGTTTCCCTACACAAAGGACAGTCTAGTGCACAGTGTGTCTGGGAAGGGCTGACAGATATCTGGGGCTCATCACGAGGCAGGTGCTGCCCAAGCCCTGTCACAGTCAAATTCTGGAGGTGGCTGTGGCTAGTTGTAGCTGAGTTGTTAGTGAGGTTGAATAGACCATGTTGCCCTTCCCAGTCTCTCTTCCCTTGCAGAAGTCAGGCATCACTATGACAAGATGGAGCATATCCGTCTACACTGGCCTTCAGCGGGACCTGCCATGCCCAGGGCTCTGCACTCCTGCAGTGTGATGAGGCTCAGGGCAGCACTGTCCAGCATGGCCTGTGAGGTCAGGAAGGGGCTGTATTAGCTGCTGGGGTGAATCTCATATGGTCAAGCTCTTCATGACTCAAGTGGCTGACCCCAAAGCTGCTGCCCCAGATGTTGCTGGCTTTTTACACTGTGGGCCTTGTCTTTCATATGCATGTGGGGTTGTGTTATGTGCTAGACAACCTTGAACTCTAGATGACCAGTCCTCACTGCGAGGCTCACTTGGTCCTGAGAGACACCAAGAGAGACACCGGGGTGGTTTTCCGGGAATGGCTTCTGTACCTTGAAGTGACCGGGCATGAGTGTCAACTTACCAGTGCTGCCCAGGGAGGAAGCTGTGGTCAGAGTTGCTGTGACAATCAAGTGAGACCTGGAAGAGTTCTTGTGAACCAGGGTGGGGTGCTGCACTCTGAGCTGTATCCCTCTGTGGATGAGCCCCACAAACTCCACAGCACTGGCGACGGCCCTGGCAGAGGACCACACAGGTCAGAGGACACCCCCAGGTTGATGTGGGGAGGGAAAGGTGCTCTGAGCTCAGGGTAACCTAAACTTACTCCGCTGACAGACAGCTCCCATGGGAGCTAAGTGTGCCAAGCTCAACAGAGAAGACTGGCAGGCCTAGAGAAACAGGCCTGTAATCACAAACGCTTAGGAAGTACAGTAGGGAGATCACAAGTTCAAGGCTAGCCTGGTCTACAAAGTGAGTTCAAGGCCAGCTTGCACAACTTAGTGGCGCTCTTCATCTAAAAAGTGAGGAAGGCCGAGGATATCAGCTCAACGGTAGCACACTCATGTGGGAATCAAACTGCAGAGCTGACCTTTGACACCGCTCCCCGCTCACTCGGACTCAGAGGCCCTGACCTGGCGCCTACTACTCTCTTAATTTGCTCCCTCCTTACGGCTCCGAGTTTTTATTCTGTGCAGTAAATCAAATCTGTGAGACCAAACTTAAGCTACACTCGTACCTTTTCAGTGCGGCAGGGGCGAATGCATGTGTGCATCAGCAGAGCTGCGTGTTGACGGGGACCCATCAATACTTCCTACAAACACATCGCAGCCAACTGTCTGCCTTCCTGTGGGCTCTCCCAGCACTGTACACAGCTTGGAAACCTCCCCTGCTGTGGACCCGAGGGTGGGCAACCTGACCCTCATCCTCACCAGGGAGCCAGAGCCCTCTAGTCAGCTCTACGCTGGCGAGGCAGGTGCATCTTGCATCCCATGGTGAGCAAGCCTGGTGCAGCTGCATGCACCTTGAAAAATGTGTAATGCTGAGAATATTTAGCAGATAAGATGGTTCTCACTTTTCCAAAATGATTCATTATGGCATCCTGTAAAATACTGCTATTTCCAGGTGTAAATAACCATACTTGTACTTGACTGAGTGTGTGTGTGTGTGTGTGTGTGTGTGTGTGTGTGTGTGTGTGTGT